AGAGAGACAGCCCAGATGCCCACTTATGCCTCCCCACAGCTTTGGGCACTCCATGATCTGGGTCAGTGTCACTGAAGGCCAAAGTACTGGCTGTCTTGGCAAGGGACAAGGCACCTCAGAGCAGAAGGCTGGTCATTAACTCATTCCTATATTCCTCTCAAGGTCAGCTCTGGGGACACTCTGGTGCCACTGAAGCAGTACCCAAAGAAGGAAATCTAAGGGGCAAGCACCTGTTGCCACTCACAGTCCTCTCTTTCTCACCTCCCTAAGTGGAAGATTTGTGAAAAGCAACTGTCAATGAGATCTTTGCAAGGCAAAGGACACATTGGAGGACTTCACCAGAGAAGTGGGAAGCAGATCCTTGCCAAGAGCACCATCTCTCACCACTGCTGTGACCAACATGCACAAACACCTGACCCTTGACCAAAGCTGAGTGCTGCTCTCTAGGGGTATCCAGGAGGGGTCACAAGAAAGATGTGCATCTGGTGGGGAGTAAAATCCTTCATAAGCCAAAAGGTCTTTATCAGTAAAAGACCTTGCTGTCTCAAGATGATAAGGCTCCATTTTTCTGCCTAGACCTCCAGAAGGAGGTACAAAACTAAAACAGGAACAATAAAGCTTGCCTCTTGTGCTAGAGGGCTCATCTTCATGTGGCCAGAGAAACCTGGGTTGTTATCAGGGCCCCAACTCTCCGTTGTCCTTCCTTCTCACTCCTTTCTTGCTCCAGGATCCTGCAAACCTCACTCCATGTCCATCACTCAGGACATTTCCCCTCAACAGCATGCCATTCCTGATATCCATGCCCTTTACCATGAATAGCCCCTGTTGAAGGGGCCTGTCACCAATACAGAAGTGCTGCCCTGAAGGAGGCAGTTCTAATGAACAAAAACTTTTGAGTGTTCTCCTCAGTTCATTTTCCACCATTGTTATCCCCACAGGACTGGCAGCCAGCCCTGTCCAGGTGGTTTTGCTCTACCTCCAAGATAGATAGCTATTCTAAAATATAAAATTCATAGAACTATAGTTTGCCCAAAATAATAACAGAGATAGGTCATGTATGAATAGATTCAAAGCACTTCCTACTGTCAATGTGTTCTACAATGCATACCCATGTTCATTTGGGTTCACAATAGCAAAGAATTGGAAACAACCGAAGTGTCCATCAACAAACGAATGGATAGAGAAGCTCTGATATATTCAGACAATGGTATACTATGCTGCAGTGAAAAGCAAAGAACTCATGAAATATTATTCAAAATGGACGACTCTGGAGGACATTATGCTGAGTGAAATATCCCAGTCACAAAGGAACAGATACTACATAGTGCCATTGTTAAAAAATGGGACTAATATCGGGGTTGAGGGGAGACTGAGTAAGAGGGGACAGATAATGTATACTGCATTGAAACAGATGAGGGAGAGAACTGTTTAAAAGTGATATATGATTAGGTATGATTATCATGACAGGAGTCCAGAATGAAGGTTGCATAGTGGAGCGCACTTGGGGGGTGATAGTATATAACAATGAAAGATATTTTTCTTTTACTTTTCAAAGAGAACAGCGAATGGGGGGGTACACAAGGAGAAAAATTCAATAATGAATGAATAGAAATCTAAAGTCTCTATAAATGTTCATTAAAATTAATTTAAAAAAAAACAAAAAATAGGTGCTCTAAAGTTAAAAGGAATGGTGGTACAGGGTTTCAAATCAGCTTGAAGCACAACTTGAGTGCTGTACTGGTTCCTGAGTGACAGCCACTCCAACGTGAGAGTTTAGGCCAGTGTGAGGTTGTGCAATCTGAGTCATTTCAGAGGTCAGGTCAGAGAAAGAATCTCCCCTCATCCTCCTTTGTAAGGGTGCCCTTTTCCTCTACCTTAATGTGGCCTCACCCAAAACATTGACTTTGTACCACTATCCACTTAGCAATCTGTTAATGATTCTCCCTTCAGATGCCTCATTATTCTAACAAAAGAGTTTGCTTCCTGAAGTAATTACTTTGGAGATGAAGAAAGGAGCAAGGTACAAGGGTCAGGAAAACAGAGACAGGAGGCTCACCTCATAACTGACATTCTTGTTCTTCCCACCAATTCTCTGAAAACACAAGTTTCCTGCCCTGGTATCAATGGTATATGGAATCTGAGATTCTCTGTTGTCCTTCCTTCAGTGGCCACAATACATCTAAAACAGGCTCTCTCCAGCTACAGGTCCATGCTGGCTTTTCATCTCATATCCAAGCCAGCACTTATAGTAGCCCAATGAGAAGCCATGACCCCATTTTATAGGTGAGGAAACTGAAAGCAGTTGAAGTTATACATGGATAAGCAGCACAGTGGTCCCTTTCACAAGCAAGGACACTTTGCCTGAAGCATGTCCACATGTCACTCTCTCTCTGCTTCCTTCACATGTGCCTTTCCTCTCTCCTCTGCCTCTTCAAAATCAATATGGGACTTTCCCCAACACCTTCTCCAACCACTATCTCCTTGAGACCTCATGCTCCCTACCACTTGACCTCACAGGACCTAACTACTTTCATGGCCTTAATCAGTGACCACATTGGAAAATACCCAGGGAAAGGAAAAAACCAGGAAGATCTCTTCCCATTGACCTGTGCCAGAGGTTTCATGGAACCTGAGAGCAGGCAGGTGGCAGTGGCTACTTTCACCTGCTCTGGGGCAAAGCCCTAGGCTGGGGTAATTCTGGGATGTTTACCTAGCCTCTCTATGACTAAGGTCACCCTGTAAGCATCAGGGAATTTTACTCTCTAGTCAATTGGACTTAGGGGAAGAACTTATTAACAGCAGGATCTGGGCCAGCCCCAGATTTCAGCTCCCCACGGCTAACAGAATGCCCAAAGATTGACACTTCCACCAGCATCCTAGCATCTGAAAATTACAGGGTCCAGGCTAAGAGTCTAGAGCTTAGCCTTACATCTGGTGAGGCATGTTACTTTCCTGGGGCTCTTAGGTGCCATCTGTTTGAGATGGATGGACAGGAAAGTAGCTTGTGTGAGTGGACTACACAGTAGTGGCTCAAGCATGGTAAGAATAGCGAGGATGGTTCAGGATGAGGGCAAGGTTCCAATTTGATATTTATAGGGTCGCTGTGAGTCCTACCTAGTCAACTCGATGACCTCTAACAACAGACAATGGCAGTTTAATGTCCTACAAGACAGAGACCAATGTCTAGGTAGCTTTCCTCTAAGATGAGATAAAATAACAAACATCAGAAACCTAAAATGCAACTTCACCCCCAATTTCTTTTTGAATATCACTGAGGTCAGAACTGACTCATAGTTGACCTTCCAGAAGGTTTTAGGAGGCTGTAAATCTCAAGGGAGTAGATTCCCCATCTTTCTCCCTCCGAGTTGCTGGAAAATTCACACTGCCAGAGAGGTGCCACCACTTACCAGCACAACTTTCTACAAACTGCACCACCAGAGCTCCTACATTGGCACAGACATGAAGAACTTGGAGTCCTCCCACATTACTGTTGTTGTTGTTAAGTGCCGTCGAGTCGTAGACAACTTATAGTGACCTTCTAAATGAAAGACCTGAACACTTGTATAACTTTCATTGTTTCTCCAAGTTCACAGAGTTTCCAGAGGCAAGGTATTTTGGAAGTGGATGCCACTCCTGCTTCCAAGCTTGTTTTAATCGGGGAGCTCCACCAAACACTGTCCACTATGGGTAACCATTATCACATTTGACACATCAGAATCACAGTGTTTAGCATCACAACAACCATGAGTTACTTCTATACAGCAAATGGACAGACCAGTGCTATGTATATCCACACAAAAAATGCATATAATTGAGAAGTTCAGAGGTCCTCATATTTCTTATAGATCTCAGGTTAAGAATTTCCAGTAGATTATCAAGGAGAAGGCAATGGTAATAGCCCAGAACTACCATCAGACTCACAGTGGGTATAAGCCTGAGACAGCAGGGGCTCAAGCAGGTCCTTGTACACAAGTTCTCATTATAGCAGCAATCACAACTGATGGACAAGCAGAATGAGGCACACTCTACAATGATGGAATATTACTCATCATGAAGAGGAAAGAAGTAATATATATTATTATATGGATGAACTTTGCAAATATTATGCTAAGTGAAATAAACCAAACACAAAAGGACAAAAAATGCATGATAGTACTTCTACAAAATATCTGGAATGGGCAAATGTCTAGAGACCAAATGCATTATGGTTAATAGTGGCTGGGGGGGAAGGAAACTGGTAATGACTGAAAAGTGGGTTGTTTGAACTCACCAGCCACACTGTAGGAGAAAGATGAGGCAGTCTGTTTCCACAAATATTGATAGCCTGGAAACCCTACAGGAAGTTCTATTTTGTCTTACATGGTTGCTATGGGTTTGAATCAGTCAAGGACCTGGGGGGAAGGGGGGTATTGGGAGGGGGAGGGCAGAAAGAGAGTGAGTGAGTGAGTGAGTGAGTGAGTGAGTGAGTGAGAGAGTGAGTGAGTGAGTGTGTGTGTGCCTGGGATGTGGAACAGTTTTCAGTGGAGCTTCCAGACTGACAGTCTAGAAAGAAAGGTCTGAATATTTACTTCCAAAAATCAGTTGATAAAAATCCCAGAAAGCATGGTGGTTTCATCTGCAGCTCATCACGGGTCTGGCACTGGACTTGGCAGTGTTTTGTTCTGCTTGGGCCAATGCGAAGGCAGCTAACAGAACAACAAAAACACAGCCCAACCTACTCTGAGTGTTACAAAGGTACTCAATGAAATAAAACTTTGTTGATGACTGGGTAAGAAAACCCCAAGCCACCTAGGGACAGCATAACTCTACTTTTTTTTATTTCTTTTTTTTTAGTTCTTTTATTTACTTAATAGAAAGAAACCTAGTAAAACATGGATGGGGATCCAAAGGAGCAAGGGATGAGAGCAGAAGGGTGAGGACAGGTGGTGATTAAATCACAAGGTTGCACAAATTGGTGTGTGAGAGAAGAGATATGGTGACAAGACACAACTCAGACATACCTGTATGTAATCCTTACTTCAGTACCAGGTTCATCTTGCTCCCAGATCAAAGCAACACTCTCTGGAGACTTCTGAACATGCTGGTCCAAGCAGTTGACTGCATGCGAAAAAAGAAGGTTTTATGGACATGACATGCATTGCTGTTAGCATAAAGTGTCTAGAGAATCGTTCTTGGTTCTCCACTAGGTGAGCTTGTCAGTGGTGAGATTTCTTACCTCCTTCCTTCACAGGCTTGTGGGAACAAAGACAATCACTACATAAAAATATCTCAAAAGGGCACTGTGATCTAGCAAATACAAAATAACAGACCATTCCAGCTACATTAGTATTAGGATCATTCAGGGAACTTCTTTAAGTACCAATGTCAAGACACTTCAGAGATTCTAATTCATCTGGCTCACAGTTGGATCTGGGCTTCATTGTTTTAAAAGCTCCTTGAATGTTTCTAATGTGCCAGCAATCTGGCACCACAGCCAGCCTGCTGGAAAGAAGACTTAATGCAAACAGAACACTCCTGTTTTTAGTACTGGGTATGGCCCAGGAACTCTCATGTGCCTGGAATTAACTTTGCCCCACAGAGTAGAGGTGCAATTCAGGACTAGATCCAAGTCCTTTCTTAGGTCTTAGCCAATAGCCCTACGAGCCAGCTTCTGCCAAGACAAATAATGCAAAAGCAAAAATACCATCCTGGTTTTCCAGAAGGCTCTTCTCCCCTCCTCTTCCTATTACTTAAGCTCAAATCACATGACCTGCCCATGAAAACAGGTTGATTTTTTCTTTTACTGTAAACCTGAGGATTAGTAGGATCATGTTTCTTATACTTCTGTTAACATCCTGTTCACTATTCACTTGATTTCAAAATGAGTTTAATTCTGGCTGGCAAAAATCAGGGTCCTTCCAACCCTCAAAGGCAGGCACTCAGTACTCAGCTCTTCATTAGAGGTCCCAGGCTTGCAGAGAAAATGGGTGTCCTCTGGCAACAGGGCTTCTCAGTAACACCATCCCCTACCAGTGTCCTGATCTCTTGACAACAAGTCCTGGAAACTCATCTCTATTCAGGCTTAAGCATTCCTCCACCACCCAACTTCTCTTTAGCAACCAGCCATTCAAGCTCTTCTCAATTTCCCCTGAGATGCAGCAGCTGATGACTTCCCAGAAAACTGACTCCATACACTCATTTCTTCCAGGAAAGGAGGTCTCTGCCTACAGCTGTACTCCACCTGCACTCTGCTTCCTTGAATTGAGGAGAAATCCACTCATCTGAGGCCTGTCAACACATCTTCAGTGTCCACCTTCCCATAAGCCCATTTCCCTGCCAGTGACTGCTGTTCACAGTCTCTGCTCAATTCTCAAGCTATCCCTGTCCTCCTGGTCTCTATTCCCCACCACATCCAACAACAGAGCATCACAGAGCTCACAGAGATGAGGAGGCGTGGGGAGGGAAGCAGAGATTGGTAAGAGAGGAAAAGCCTATAAAAGCTTGAATCTATAGGTCCACATCCTGGAGGTGTGAGGTAGCACGGAGCCAGCAAGGCCACAACTGGGGGAGTATGACAGACCCGGCAGCAGGGAGCTGCCTACTGGGCCTTTCAGCTGTTTGCTCCTATTGGTGGCTGGGCTCTGGATGCAGAGGGGTGGCCCTTGGTAAGGAAGGCATCAACCCCTCCAATTCCCACTTCTGCCTGAGTCTTTCTCAGACATTGATGGTATAGAACTTCCACTCCCTTCTGCCATCCCTCTATTTCACATGTGCTGGGTCATCCACGATAATTAGGCACATTTTTTTTTCTGTCCTGGCTTCTCTGGAACAAACAACACAATCAGAGAAGGTGGAGGTGGCCAATAGGATCCCAGCACATAGGAGCCTAGATTGAGTCTTCAATGGGGCATTCACAGGATGCTCTCTTACTAATCTGGCCCCTCCTTTCTTTATACTCCTGTCATAAATTGAACTATCCCTTTAAAATATGTATCAATGTCGCTAAGCCATGATTCCCTATACTGTGTGGTTATCCTCATTTTGTGATTTGGTATAACTATCCTCCATGTTGTGATACATGTTGTATATCTTAATCTCTATATTTTAATGAGGATGGTGTAGTGGGTAATGAGCAGTGCTGCAAATCCAAAGAGAGAAGGTTAAAATTCACCAGCAGCACTATGAAAGAACAATGGGCAATCTCTTTTTGTGTAATTTATAGCCTCTGAAAACCCACTGGAGGGTCGGCTTTCATCAGATTCACAGCAGTGAGTGAGTTAATGAGGGCACTCTGATGGCGTGCAGCCCATCATGAGTGTGCTGCTAACCCAAAGGCTGTGCTTCTCTTTTGGTGTGTGGCTCTTCTAGTTGTGACTTACACCTTCAGAAACCCAACAGAAGATTGCTCTGCATCAAAACCATCTCAAACACAGTGAGTGAATGAAATGTCAATAAGGCAGTATTAGAGTAGGCTCTACTTTACAAGAGTGGCTTAAGTCACACCCTCACTCACTGTGCTCACTCAAGTCACGCTAAGCATCTTACAGGAGAGAAAGACACTAGCAGACAGGAGAAAATTGACCAAAAAAGACGAGACAAGAGCCGAATGTGTCCCTGTGTTGAGAGTCTTCTAGGCTCAGGGATAAGACAGATGTCAAACACATGGACATCTCCATAGAACCAACCAGGAAGCAAAATTTGGAAAAATAGAGAATTCCCTCCAGAGCCCTTAGAAAGGGAACACCTTTTAGTATAGCCCAAGCCCTGAATTCAGACTTCTCACCTCCAAACAGTGAGAGAACAAACAATTTTCTTTTGGTTAAAGTCATCTACTTGGGGTTTTTGTGTTATAGCACCACTAGATAACTAACATCTCTGCCACAGCTGAACGTCTGTCCTCTCCATTCCATTTGTCATTCACTCTGATCAGGCTGCTAGCTCATCAAGTCTACCTCAAAGTAAGATGTACTCCATACCCACAGCTCTCATTCTGGTTGGACTTTAGCTGGTACAATCACAGCCTCTTTGTCTGCAAGTAACAGGATAATGTGAGGTGTGTTGCCTGCTTCACAACTGGAAAAGGCTTAGCACACAAATCAGCAATCAGTGCAAGAGCTACACTGAGAAGCCCAGATATTTTACTTGGTTTGTCCCTCTAACTTACTGTTTTGATAGGATGTGACACCCTTGATTTTTTACTCTAAAATCTAAGCTAATATTAATATTAATAGGTCAGTGCACATCCTAAAAATAGAGACATAAAAAACCAAAATCCAGTCCATTGCTACTGAGTAGACTTCGAGTCTCTGTGACCTTTCATCAGTCTCCAAAGCTATAAATCTTTATGGGAGAATACCACCCGTATTTCTCCCGCAGAGCAAATGGTGGATTGTAATTACTCGCCTTTTAATTAGCAGCAACTTATAATACACTACACCACTACAGCTCTTTATAAATGTCTTTACAAACACAGTAGTAATTTACAATGATATCCTCCTCCCTCTGTTTTTCATCTTGTGTATAAAACACAAAGGGATAAAGGCCACTAAGTAGCTGAGAATTAATAAATTTAAGTTACCTTTATTGTTGTTGTTGATTGTTGTCAAGTTGAACACAACTCATAGCGACCCTATGAACAAAAGGCCTTTCTATAACTTGTCATTTATCAAAGGTCGTAGAGTTTCCAGAGGCATTTTGTTTAAGAAGTGGATGTCATTCCTGCTTCCAAACATGTCTTAAACTGAGAGCTCCACCAAACACTGTCCACCATGGGTAACCAACCGTTATGGTATTTGACACTCCAATGGCACAAGGTTCAGCATCACAGCAACCACAGGTTACCTCAGTACAGCATATTGACAGAAGAGTGCTGTACTACTTAGAAGAATGTTCTTCCAAAATACAATAACAACTGATTTTTAAATCCTAAGGCTCCCTCAGAGGTCTAGTTGACTCTAAACAAGAGACTTAAATAAAAAAACAACCAGTATTGTATGTTCTTGTTGTTATGTGCCGTTGAGCCACCTGTAATGTATAGCAAATCTATGTACAGCAGCTCTGAACCTTGCCCTGTCCTGAGCCAGTCTCACTAATTCTGACACAACAACCCCCATTGCCCCAGATACCATATTAATCCATCTCATCTGGGGTCTCCCTCTCCTGTGCTGTCCCTCCACCCTTCTGAGCATGATTTCCTTCTCCAAGGACTAGTCTCTCCTTGCCATGTGCCTAAAGTGAGACAGAACTTCAAAATCATAGCCTTCAAGGAGAGACTTTGTTTCACCTTCTCCAAGACAGACTGATTTGTTTTCTTGACAGTCCATGGTAGAAGAGTTCAAGACTCTTCTCCAGCATCACAAGTCAAAGGCATCTATTCTTTTTCTGTCATCCTAACTCATTGTCTAGCTCTCTGAAGCATAACAAATAATTGAGAAGCCCATGGTCTGGATTAGGCACACTTAAGATGGCTAGGGATTCCATGACTACAAGTGAAGTTGTTTTTACAAGAAAGGATATTGGGTAAGGAGCTCAAAAGAACCTTCTGGACTGTCAGAAATGCCCTACATTTTGTCAGGAGTCACATGACTGTTACGTACTTGTCAAACTGACCTAACTGCACTGCAGGTTTGTGGCTTTCACAGTGCATAAACCATACCTGCAAATATAAATAAAAAGGAAGTAAGGAGAGATGTCAGGAAACAAATCTATTAATACTAACTGGGATAAGATATTTCCTTGAACTACTGTAAAAAATGGAAGAGAAAAATGCTCCAAATATAGGAGAAGGAAATCAAATATAGGGCAAGGTCTGAGGAGCAGTCCACAGTGCTGACATCAGTGTATGTGTGCATGTGCAATGTGTGATGTTTATGAGTGCTCATCTGAGACCCATGTGAGCCACCAACTCAGTTTCCAGAATCTCTAGTGCTATTTCTAGCACACTCCACAATGATGCAAGAAGTGTCCAATGGCTGATATCAAGTAGGCCATAGATTTTCTTCTTTCAGCACAAAAGTTTTACAATTGCCATCCATTGCATATGATCCAGCAATCCCAAGTGTATACTAAGAAGATCTGAAGACAAAAATACAATCAAAAGTCTGAGCTGCAGAGGGTTT